AATTGGGGTATCGTTGAATAGGTCTTTTTAAACTAAGAAAAGGTCAATACATATACACACGCACACACACGCACCCTTTGTATGAAACAGCGAAACCTACCAACCCTTTACAGCGCACCGTCACTACGTCCACACTTATAGAAAAATTCCCACACGGTGGTTTGTTTACTTTCCCCAAATCCCGGATACTCGTGATTAGTGTGACACGCCAAATTGGCTACGTGCCGGAGCTTATCTCTATTTCCCGCGGGAAAACACAGTTTTAATGCTTTTTATCGCGTATCATATTGAGTGGGGTATCGTTGAATTGGTCTCAAAACTACGAAAAGGTTCACAAGCAGACGCACCCTTTGTACTAATAAATCCGTACGGTAATACGTCCGCACTTATAGTATAGTAAAATTCCCACACGGTGGTTTGTTTACTTTCCCCAAATCCCGGATGCTCGTGATTAGTGTGACACGCCAAATTGGCTACGTGCCGGCGGTAACCATTTCGGTGCCTTAGTAATTGATTTGATTATGCAAACATTTCACGGTCTTCAAACGGGATCGGGTATTTCACGGACAGATTTAAGCTGCCACGAAGTTTTAAATAGACCAGCTGGTTTTTAAAGGTTTAACTTAAAACTTAAAAGTAACTAAATACAGTTAATATCTACAACGACTATGACAATCGTATATTTTGAAGGAATAAAGAAATATTATGTCATAAATTGTCCCATACGATAGAAAGAAAATTTATATGTCTCATATTCGGCATAATATTTTTTTTAAAGTATACGCGAGTAAAGTAGATAAATTCTACGTTACTCCAGTGAATTTCAAAAAGCCCTATCTGCAGTCATCGGACATCTGTCGCAGCCAACTGGTTAAAGAAGCTGTGTAATTAAACAACTAGTTCTTTAATCAAACGCCGCCATCTAACCAAACAGCTAGTTCACTGGCTGAATTTTGAAGCGTTCCAAACGTTCAACATAGCGGCGGACTGAAAACCCGCTGTTTAATTGAATAAGTACGTTTTTACGCCACTGCGGCGCTAGAGTCGGTTTGTTTACAAGATGGCGTCAGCGGCACAAAAATCAACACCATATTTTGTTATTTTATGTTAAATAATCCGTGATTAGCGTAATCAGTGCTGTTTCATGGTTATGAGTGATGGGGGCGCCTACGGGGGAAACGTCTGAACAAAAATTCAAACAGTTGTTTGAAGAAACTCTGCGAAACTATGAAATCCAACATCAAGGTAATTTTGTTCTTATTACACGAATATTGAGCCATTAAATGTTTATTAAACTGTCACAAACCTAATAAAACATGTGTAATTCGTTACGTAATCATTCAATTTGCAGTATCTACTATTTTTCGATGAAAATAGACTGATGTGAACGTAGGTACTTACAAAGTATAAAGCCCTATACAAACTGCGGCGGGATTCGGATGGGTACTTGGGTAGCGTAGTGGAACTCAATCGCTTGACAATATGTACCAGTCACAATACCGCGTACCCACGTACAGAGCCGGTTTCGCTCCGGTTTGCATAACTCATGCTCGGGGCTAGACTGTAGGGGAGACTGGGGTTGCTTGCACTAGGGGAGCGGCCATACAAATGACACTTTTTCAAAATTTTCTTAGTGTTTCTCAGTGGTTGAGGTGTTCGAAAGGGGGCTGCCTGCCTGTAAATAGAAAAAAATACCCTCTCCTTTCCCCCTCTACAAAAGGCCCCCTTGGGGTCATATTGACCCCATTTTTTTTATGACGGGAACGTACAGAGTTGCTCATCAGCAAAAACAAAAAAGGGGGGTCAATATGACCCCAAGGGGGCCTATTGTGGAGGGGGAAAGGAGAGGGTAATTTTTTTCTATTTACTGACAGCCCCCTTTCATACACCTCAACCAGTGAGAAACACTAAGAAAGTTTTGAATAAGTGTCATTTGTATGGCCGCCCCCCTAGTGCACTCCAACCCCAGTCTCCCCTATAGTTTTGCCCTGAGCATGAGCTATGCAAACGGGAGCGGAACCGGCTCTGTACGTGGGTACGTGGTATTCTGACTTGTACAAATATCAAGTAATTGAGTTCCGGACTTCCGGTACTCACGTACCCACCCAGATTCCGCTATATTTTGAATAGGCTTACTTTCAGATTACAGAATCAGACATACGCGGGCTCTGTGCCCGTTTGCGACTCGCAACGCGTAAGCTGTGCGTGTGACATTATAATAACGCGCGTGGAGCCCGCGTATGTGTGAATATGCCCTAACACACATTGCTACCCTAGCAAATTGAACGTAAGCCATTTGGCTAACCAACATACAGCTGTAGTGTAGAACGTGATCTTCAACCACTTACCTGATGAATGTTTAGTTGTTTGGTTAGATGGCGACGTTTGATTAAAGAACTAGTTGTTTAATTACACAGCGTTTTTAACCAGTTGGCTGCGACATATCCATGAAATTTTCGTATACTTATTTCTTATTATCTGAAGTTGCTTTAGCTTCAAAAGTATTATTTCTGTTTATTATCTAATTTTTGGCCACAGTATACCATAAACTGAGAAATGAAATTCCCGAGAATCAATACAATTGATATAGCTGTCTGTGACATTCAATTTTCTTGCCTGAGCCTATTTTCGTTGTTCACATGTTTAATGAAGCTCTCGGAAGCGGTGTGGTGGTCTACTATAGTGTCGTTATCTTATTAAAAACTGTGTAGAACTGCCACACTCACTTCAGTATAGCGATTTTCTTACCGAAGTCTGTTTTCGTTGTCCAGGTGTTTGATGAAGCTCTCAGAAGCGGTGTGGTAGTCTACTATAGTGGCGTTTGCTTGTTGAAAACTGTGTAGAACTGCCACACTCAGTTCAGTATAGAGGTAGAGATTTTCTTACCGAAGTCTGTTTTCGTTGTCCAGATGTTTGATGAAACTCTCGGAAGCGGTGTGGTGGTCTACTATAGTGTCGTTATCTTGTTGAAAACTGTGTTGAACTGCCACACTCACTTCAGTATAGAGATTTTCTTACCGAAGTCTGTTTTCGTTGTCCAGATGTTTGATGAAACTTTCAGAAGCGGTATGGTGGTCTACTTTTAGTTGCGTTTGCTTGTTGAAAACTGTGTTGAACTGCCACACTCACTTCAGTATAGAGATTTTCTTACCGAAGTCTGTTTTCGTTGTCCAGATGTTTGATGAAACTTTCAGAAGCGGTGTGGTGGTCTACTATAGTTGCGTTTGCTTGTTGGAAACTGTGCAGAACTGCCACATTTACTTCCACCAAAGCTTTGTCCTTCCACAGGTTGACTGGGGTCCTTATGTCCAAGCCCATTTTCTGGGCAACTTTCTGCACAAATAAAACAATGATTAGAATGTGTTTAAAAAATACGTCCTAACCCACTTCATAAAACTGTTCATACAACATTCCCCAAGCGAATAACGTCAAAAGCATGATAAAATTTAAAACACCCATTCAAAATGCCTAATGTGAGCATGTCTGCTCATTCACAGCTTAAATTTTTTCCCGTCTTATGTTTCTTCATGGGAAAAGTTTTTGAGTTCCATGGTCTGGTTCACTTCTTTCAATATTTGCTTTTAACTTTTTACACTAAATATGTTAAGGATGGCTTAGTTTATTGCCCCAAATGCTGAATCTGTGAAGCAAGTAAGATGCCTACGACTTCAATGGGAAGTACTTAATCTATTTCGTACACTAACGAGCCATTGTGAATTTGCATGAAACAAGTTTAAGATTATTTCCGGCAGTGCCTTACGACAATTTCCTACCAATTGTTACTAAAGTAATCTAATCCTATCTACATTGATATTTATGGTTATTCTTGTGCTAGTTTGTATAGTGATAATTTTTGTGAAACGAAACCTTGTAACCTTGAATATCACAACGAAAATGTGACACTCAAGGTTACATATTTATTATCGCCACCACATTAACCTACCCATTTTAGGGATCAAAATATACTGGCTATTAGTATAAAAATCCAGTATAAGTTCGTCCCTAAAATTGGTAACGTGATGTGTCAGCAGTACCTAAAGGGTAACTAATATTTCACTACCACGAAGACTGAGTTCAAAGCATAGCTAATAATCTTGAAAGTAATAAACTAATACCTGAGAGAATATAACTTCGAGCTGCAGCATCAGTGCAATCAAAAATGTAGGTGGTTTGAAACATGACGATGCAGAGTTTATTATGAAATTCTAACTAATGAATATGCAAAATCAGCAGCAAATAAATAGCTTTGAAAATGAACATGATTTTGACGACTGTCAAATAAGCCATTCGAACGACGACGATATTGTAGAAAATTCGTTTGCTTCTATGCTGCTGATTGATCTTTATGCTGAATTCTGAATTAAAAATAGGTTTCAATATACATCCGCATTTTTTTTGTCTAAACCTCCGGGTACGTAAAATTTAACTAACAGTCGCGAAAATTTCAATTTGTGCGAAAAAATTACAACTAGCGCAGCGCGGTAAACCTTTGATGTCATGTTTAATACGTTTCTTCGTGACTTTTCCACAAGTTTCAACCTAAGTAAATTGTGATGACTTTTTCTTGTTGATCCTTGAATCTGCTTACCAACTAATAAAATGTCTCTAGATGAAATTGCAATAACCTGTCCCATATTTCAAAAACAAGCAGATACCTATACTGCTATGTAGCCTAAATGGTTGTTTTATGAACTGCGATTTTATCAAATTGGTGCTGATTACGCCCTCGGGCTGAAGTGACAATTTGATTATTAGTGATTAAACTGTATCACCTACAACCCATTACAACGAACTTCATAGGTACGGTACATCAACCAAGCCATTTAAGAGACTAACTAATACTAGTTTTTCATACAGGCATTAAGGAAAACCATTTTAAGTTGATTAACCCCGCATTTCGTTGTAAGTTTTATGATACCTATTTAAAAAAAAACCGTGACAAGTAAACAACTTTTGAAAAGCCTTCAAAATTTGAACCTTAATTCGCAGAATAGAATCGATCCGCGGTAGCCCAGTTGGTAGAGGCGTCAGCAGTACTATTGCCGAAAGAGCAAGTTCTTATCCTGCCTGCGGTGTATTTGCAAGTTTTCCAAAATTCATTATGACGGTTTTTTACATTTAAAAATCCTATAAATATATTTTTATCAATGTGGCATTCCATAAATAACATCCAATTTCATTGATATTGTTTTGTTTGCAAACTGGATCTTATCGGGAAGGGATTTCGCAATATAATTTTTTACGATACCATTCCGGGTATTTGAATGTCATCGATCTCATCAGTTTAGACTGCTGCTATGGTTGTTATATTTAGATAAATGATGTTCTGTCTAAGTTTAGTACAGGTTTTGCTTAGTATGGGTTAGTTCGAGGTATGTAGCTCGTTAAGAGCTTATATTGGTTATGGTTTTTTAAGAGAGAATTAGGTACCTACTTAGTAAAAATATCCCTACTCAAACTCGATTTTTACCACGAATAACAACGTTTTTTTTTACGTATTGCAAATTTGAGTGGTTCAGATTTGTAACTCTCATTTATGAATTAGCCGTGGGCTATTCACGTAAAATATGAGACGGATGAATGGATGCTAAGGGCACAAGCTCGACTAGCACGGAAGAGTAAGAGACGCATATGTTCATAAATCAAATCATATCCAATGTCTGAACATACAGATGCTGAATCAGCACTCACCTCTAGCATATTCAGTCGATTGGTGTCGCAGAAGTTCCGGCAGCCGATCTCAGTGCTCATATACCAGCCGTTGAAGGCATTGGCTGTGAATTCAATGCCGCCGCAATCGAACCGCATGCTGGACACGGCTGGCAGAGCGTACCAGCGGAGGTTCAGCTCTTCGAACCATTCGTACCTGCGAAACAAAGTGAGAGTCGAGTATAAGCAAGCCATAGAGTGCGTGTTTCGCCCCGCGCCGTACCTACTGTCTAGCTTAAGCAATAGTTAGATACTTACGTCAAATGTACTGTGAATGTAAATGTACGATACTGGAGATACCTTTACTGGTGGTGGTGGGTAGCGAAATGAAATGCCTCGAGGCTAACCAGGCAGTATCTTTATATTAATTTTATTTTTAACTACCGAGCCGCTGTCTATAATACGTTAAATATTGCACTGTCAGTGATCTTTTATTCCCATAAATGACAATAAGGCCCTTTCACACATGAAACGAAGACATGAAGCGTACGAGACGTAAGACATCGCGACGGTCGAAACAGTTTTCATATAAAATGTACGTAATACAAGTGATTCGCGTCTCATCGCCGACGACCGACGATCACTTGTCTGACAGATGTCATCTTACGTGTTACGTCGCACATCATGTGTAAAGATCACGATGTGGCGCAGTGGTTAGCATGCCTGCCTGCCACGCAAAGGTTCCGGGTTCAATTCCCGGTGGGGTCACTCACAAAGTTGATATTTATCACTTTGTGAATTTGTTCCCAGTCTGGTTAGGACATTGCAGGCTGAACCACCTGATTGTCCGCAAGTAAGATGGTTCCGTGCTTCGGATGGGCACGTTAAGCCGTCGGTCCCGGTTGCTGTCTATGATGGCGGTCGTTACACAGCCATGTCAGAGGCCTGCTACTTGTAGTAGGCGGTTGAAAAACTCTGACACCAGGGTTCATCGGGTCGTTGAACGACTCGGTGTCCCACACGAAAAAAAAAAAAAATGTGTAAAGAAAGATAGGGCAGGGAAGTGGAAGGGCAGTAGAACCGTACTCTACTGTCCCTCGTTCAAATTCAACGGCACTCCAAATTATTCGATTTCAACATACACTTTGCTTGCCAGAAAAGCTTAGGCTAACTTTGCGTGCTCAAGTAAATACAGAATACAACCCTTATTAACATTTTAATTAGTAATCCCTGAACTTTTTAAGGCTTGGACATAAAGTTAAGAACTGTTTTTCCTAAGTTTTTATCCGGTGGTTTTGTCGGCCAATGGCATCTGGGGATTTGTTTTATGGATGTTCCGTAAACCTCCAAAGTAGAGTAAGGAAATCGTTTCAAGGTTTCTTTATGCTAAGATAAACAAAAGTTTCTACACGGTGAAATTTTACTAGTGACCGATAGCGAAAACCCAGAACCGGTTGGTGATAAGGAACAACTTTCCCTAAGGAACATAGGTCAAAATACGAAAAAAAAAAATTGACCTCCCATAGTCACACGATCAGCTGATCGGCAATTTGGTATGGGAGGTCCAAATTTGTTTTTCGCTTTTCGACCTTAGTATGTTCCCATCACCAGCCTGTTCTGAGTTTTCGCTATCGGTCACTAGTAAAATTTCACCCCGTATAGTATTGACATTAACCCTTAGGGCATTCAATCATAGATTATCAGACCGCTTTTATATGACGTTACGCCTGTAAACATCCTCAATAGCCAGTTAACATTATCAATGGCCATGCATTATTGAAGCCGGCGGAGTTATAGGCCATAAACGCAGATTGGAGATCACTTGCCCATACTTTTACGATAGCAATCTTCCTTTCTATAGAGTGTGATGACTAGCAAAACTATTTTTACTTGTGAGTCTATTACTGCTCTTCTTTCACGCCTACGCTGCAGATCAGAAAGCTATGCAGCAATGAATAGCAAACAGTGTGAGACCGCATGAGTCTCGCAAAGGCTATATCGGTTTGATGTCGCGGCACAAAATGCATTCCCGAGTTCCTGACCTTTTATGCTGGCGTAAACTTGTGATGGAAACCAATACAAGCTTTGGCAGACCAACCAGCGAGGGTGATTGACATCGGGGCACGTAAAATTGACGCCCTTTGTATCGAGTCCAAGAATGCAATTTTGAAACTGCCACAGTAGGGTGTGTATTTTCACACAGTTTTACATGGCTTAGTACCATCGAGAAAAAATCCTATCGGGACATATTTTAAAATGGACACATGGATATCGTATACAAATTGAGTTCACTGCCAAAGCAACAAAAACTAGATGCTTTTTTAACCTAACACAAAAACTTGAACAGCTCTTGAAAACGTGTTTAAATATTTTCTCTGTGCAAAAATAACGCTATACATTATTTTTGCGATAAGGCCCTGATAATTTCAGTATTAAAAGCCTAGAAATATATCGTCACTACAGAACAATAATCATTTTGACTTCGCAACCTATTCTTGCTGGCCTCTCACGTTTTTACGACGTGCACTTGCAATCCTTACTTCCCCTTTGACCTAATTAAGCCTAAACAAACATACTTACGTGGGGTGTGACATGTGTATCTCCATGACAAGTTCCCTGGGGATCTCGAAGTAGTCGGGGTCCTTTCCATTAGCCGACAGCACCAGGGGGAGGATGTCCCAAGCCGTGCGGGGCGGCTTCCAACCCAACTTCAGGCACAACTGAAATGGAGCAACTTGTTAGTTGACTTTAGTTTATAGTTACTGTAAACTATGCTATGTATTGCATTTAACCAAATAAAAGCCGTGTGGTGCCAGTTTACAAAAGTTTTAGCGTACAGAGTGTAAGCAAGAGCTCTCCGAATACTGATATATAATCAAATAAAAATATTTCAGTTGACGTAAAAAAGTTTTCTCTTCCCGTAGTAAATGCAGTCAGCTGATCGTGTTTTTGTATGGGAGGATATAAAATATTTTTGTTTCATGGTCTAACTGAATGCACCATCCTACCAGTATACAGACAGCTGTAATGTACCTGACGCGCATGAGTGTCGTATAGAAGCTACCTAAGAATAAGATAGTATCGCATCGTTCCTTGGGAATGTAACATCTTGCACCTGCGCTCGTCAACCCATTCTGAAGCATAACTATATTTAAAAATAACTCTTATCGGGGAAGCCTAGCTATGTCTAACTTTTGTGACTGGTCACTGAATAGCTGTTGACTATTGTCTAAAATGTTTTGACTTCGGGATAAATTTGTTTTAACAGTCTTTGGTCACTTTCTCGCTAAAATACTTCAAACTTTTCCGGAAAAGTTGAGTGATTGATAGTATCAAATTTAACCCTTTCGCTGGCGATCGATCAGAAAATTTACAATGTGTCAAAGCTCAAGAACAAAATGAAATATCCAGCACAAAATTTAACGTTTTTCTGATTAAACATCACGTGCAGATGAAAGGACTAGGTAAATTTTCAATTATATTGCAAGAATGATTTATTTTTTGCACTGGAAGCTCCTGTATGATAAGAGGTGCCAAAAAAGGATTAAAAAACTTCTAAGTAAGTTTCAATTCTGTATTTTTGATGTGCTGGCGATTGTACCAAAACGACAATCCTCTACGGGTAATAAAAGACCCACATATTCTTAAAAGATTTATGTTGATTATTGATTTATTAAAAGAGATGAACTTTTAGACAATACACGATATAACTTCGTTAATTCGTTTCGAGAAAAATAATATCTTTTCTTTTTGTATACCTACCTAGGTTACCTACTCATAATCTGTGCTGATAGTGGCGCAACTTAACCTGTAATATCTCTGGAAAACCAATGGTTAATTGAATGTCATAAATGCAACATCTATCAATTTCACCTGGCAGTTTTTGTTAATCTTTTTGATATGTGGAAAATAATTGCCAGCGGTCAGCGTATAATGATGAAAATACTCATTGTTGCAAGAATAATTACGTTTGTTTTGGAATGTGAACGGTTTCATCTGCGAACAGGAATTATCTGCCTGGAAATATGCAAATAATCCATTTTATAATTGATACTTTCGGATATCAGATATATTGAAAATATTGGTAGGTACTACAGAGTTGTTTACAGTAAATAAATTTTACCACATGCACGATAAACCTTGATAAGATAGCTTTATGTGAAAAACCACGATGTCTTGTTTTAGGTGACTGTCGTGTTTTCGAAAAGATTTACCGTAACATTCCTGCAAGTTTGTTGTAGTTATGTAAAAGTCAAAAGGTTTAGCCAAAAGAGCTTACATTACATACTTAAACGTACATTAACAGCCACAATGGTCAATTGTTGGACATGGGCTGCTCCTTAATGGTGAGTACCTATTGCCAAACCGCACTTGGCTGGAGGATTAGCGAGCGCAGTACAAATTATTGCATTCACAGGAAACGCTG